ACTGGAAGCTGTGAAATTTTAAGAATTTGGAAAAAAAACAGCACCAGAATTGAACACATTGTATGTATCTCGTTTGAAGTACTGCGGTTCCAGATGCTACTGAGGCAGTGAATGCCGCCAGCATCAATTACCCGGAAAGGATGTGAAAAAAAAGAAGGACGAAGTAGGCTGCAGGACGGTACCAAATGCTGTACAAAATTTAGAGATACAGACAAATGAATATCCCTGGCTAGGAGCTATTGGAAGAGGACGGGGGCCGGAAATCGCGTCCACGTGTTAACATGTGCAGTTTGTTTGGCGTAATATTAAATGAACCGGTGAGAAGGAAGAATTCAAATGAAAGTATCTATGGAGTAACGTAAATGCGACACTCTTAAAGTGATGAATAAGGGATAAAAAGCTGTCAGTAGTATCGATTTCGAAAAAAAAAAACACAAAAATGAAGTAGAGGATTACCATATTAGCAATATAAAATAGCATAAAAAACAAGAAATGAAAAAAAAGCTACAAAAAGGTGCATGAATTAATTTTACCTCAGGTATTGTTGGCCGTTTGAGGACAACATCCGGCAGCACAACGGTGGGCAGTGGAAAGAACTCGTGGCTGATGTCCATGTAAACATCGGCAATATAATCTGCAAATAAGCATGCACGATAGAGTAAAACTACAAAAAAGTTGCAGAGTGGGGGGGAAAAAAAATAGAAATATGTGTGGGATAAAATCACATTAACAGAAGACAAATGAGACGCGAAATTTTATGAATTTCAAAAACAATAATTTGTAAAATTTTGCAAATGCATGCTGAATTTACCAATTTATTACGTGAAGAATTTTGCATATTTTTAAGTTAAGTGTGAAATGAGGAAATTGCTGTGGTTCTGGACACATTTTTTTTTCCTGAAACTACGAGGAAAATGAATGTTTGAGGATGGAACGCAAAAAAATCCAAAAAAAAAGCTTTTAAAAGTATCCAAATGTTGGCAAGGCGTTGCATGACATGAAACAAAGAGTTGTGACTGCGCAAGAAAACAAATTTCGATGGGTATAAGACAAATTGCCCGCCAAGTAGTGCACTTTAGGCATTGGTAAAGGATGCCATTTGTAGTTTGAATATTTTATAAAGTTATGAAAAACGGCTGTAACTAAAAGGAAAGTAATAATTAAAAGGAAGTCAAAACTGAACTGGAATGTTCCCAGTTATGTAGGGCATGGCGAAAGAGGCGGAAAAAGGGTACGGGG